TGAACCTGCCATAACAAGTTAATTTTTTATTAGCCTTTTTCAGTTTTATTTTTCTTTCATATGAATTTTTGCATTATTACTTAAAAAATGTTTAATTGTCTTTTATCTAATTATTATCAACTTAAGTGGATTTTTTAATACAAACATATATATGTGTTATTGATACATATATACGTATATATGTAGGAATATGCAATTATATTTTATTTTAAAACTAAAATTTTATTTCGGGCATACCTAATATTTATAACAACTAAATTATAAATAAGGATTTAATTTTATTTTAACATTAATTAATTAGGAAAATAACAATTAATACCTGAAGCTTGTCTCCTTCCTCTACCTTAACTTCTTCATCAAACAAAATCTCTAAAATTTGTAAGAATCAACTTTATGATTTCTAAATGGCCGTTAAATTAATTAAGACTAACATTCTTAATATAATAATTAATAAATAATTAAAATTTCATCATTTCATTTAAATCCAATTTAAAATTTTTTTATGCATTGCTTTACCTTTTTGTATCTTGCGTTACAAGTTTAGAACCGAGTACATGAGGCTCAGTTAAGTACTTCACGCACATAAGAAGCTCCCTGAACCTCTTCTTCCTCGCCATGCTCTCAAGTGAGCTTTAAACAAGCCACTGGAGCCCTCTTCCTCCTCCATTCACTCTGGTAGAGCACGAGAGCTCTCCTTCCTTCTCAGTTTGCTTGGGGATGGCTTCACATGACTGTAGGACTGTCGATGTCACGAGGGAAAGGTTTGGATGAGCCGCTCAAGCTTTCGAGGTACTCATTCAAGCTTGCCCTTCTTTTTTCTCCTTTCTTTTTTGTTCGCTGCACTCGATAGAGCCGGTCGTTCTCTTTGTCAAGTAAGATGCGGAGGGAAACGTCACATCATGTAAGTCTCTCATCTCATTCTCATTTTGCTTAATTTTCTTCTTCCTCTACTGCTTCTTCTTCTTCTTCTTATTCTTCCTTCTCCTTTTCTTCTTCCTTTACCTCATTCTCTTGATCTCTCGTGCTCACTCTCTCAGTCGCCTTCTGTGTGTGTGAGTTCAAATGACTAAAACGAGGGGATAGCCTCAATTTATTTTATATATATGTAAGATCTTATTGTTACAAATGATGTCGGAGTTAACATAGGCTACAATAAGAAAATCAAATATTATTACTAAAAGCAAATAAACAGTTATAACCAAGCATGATTGAAAGTGAAATTGCAACAAACCTGACACAAACACATACTAGAGCTCGATCAGTGGGTGGTGAAGATCGGCTAGGTGGTCGAGGTGTGGTGATAGGAGGTTGAAATGGGATGTGGGTGTTGGAATGGCAAAAAGAGGGGTTGAAATTGCGTTGACAGCGAAGCAAAAGGCTTGGAATGACACCGACAACGAAGTAGAGGGCTGGGACTGTGAGGGGCTGTGAAGAGGAGGGTTGGGATTGCGAGGGGCAGCGAAGGGGAACAGTTGTAGACTGCAGGACAACAAAGGGAGGGCTGACTGGGAACTGAGATAACAAGGGAGATGGTTGGGTGGCTGGGCTGCGAGGAAGAGACAACAAAGTTTCTGTCCGTGGTGGCTGCAACAAGTATGTAGGGCTAGAGAAAGACCAAAACAACAAGACGAGGGAGTGAATATTGGCGGCGGTGAAGGTGGAGGGCTGGGGCTGCGAGAGAAGCAAAGAGGATGGTGGTAAAGGCAATGAGGCGGCTGGAAATGTTGTGGATCTGGGAAAGGATAAATACTCTTTCGGAAATGAGCTACAGTCGGAGCACCCCTCATTTCCTTGGAAGGAGATCACCACCAAGCAAGAGTTACAGCGGGAGGGCCTTCTTGCCTTTAGATACAACCTTTGAGGGGGAAATTCTAGAAGTTGACGGCCCTCCTGATAGACAATATGGAGAAAAACTGCTCTAAAATACGAAAATAACATTTTTATACACTTAGGATAAATAGGAGTAGACCTCACTCTAAATAGGAAAGAAATCCACATGAAGGATTTATCGACCCTCCTTGATTTGTCCAAGCCGCGACTCCCACTACAGTTCACGGTGTTGTAGCATCTGTCGCAAAAACGTGTCGGAATGTCTCGATCCAACGTCAAATATCGTAAGTGACGAAGCTAATTCTATGAGGCATTGGCCAAAAGATTTTACACAATAAAAAAGAAGAAATATGCTTGCTCGTACAAAAGTGTACATGTCTAAACACATTTCGTAACATTCTAGTATAAGAAAGCAGGTACAGAAGTCAAAATTACAATGTAATTTGTAGGTCGTTAGCATGAAATTATAAGCATGTATCATAATAATGTCATTTGTTTAATGTATATGGTTCAACTATTTTCATGTTTTTTCATAATGGATCGTTACCTTGCCCAAAGGCCATATGAACCATGGATAAAGGTTGGGCTTCCCCTAACATTGCAGTTATCGACAATCCCCTGTACCCACGGTTCCCTAGCATTTTGTCCTCGTCTAATCCCTACGGTTCCTAGAGTTTCGTCCCTGTATAAATATCAGGAGTCGAGAATACGACCCTGCATGTAATAGTCTACCCATACATTGCTCGAGATATTTCTTAAAGCATAATACATGTAGCATACATTCATGGATATTTCATATACATGTATGAATCCTAAACTGAATACCTGTAATATATCATAATATAACATGATATCATATGTATAGTAAAAGATATCTACTTGTATTCATACATGTTAAGCTCGTAATGATCTACATTTAGAAGAAGTTTAAATGCTTATAAGACGGACTAAAAATCACATGCAAACCTATAGAAGATTATTTTTCTTAAATTAGCACGATTATTTCACCTGATTTGACGGAGCAACCTTACGACGAGTTTCTGTACTCTTGCTTCGAGCTCATCGCATCGAATAGGCAACTTGAAGCTCACATACCATAGGAATTCATAAAATTTGACTAAAATCATCACTTAACAAGCATTAATTACCAAATATACCTCAAATGGACTGTTCGACATAAATTACATTTCTGAAACCGACTAATCTTCTTTCTATCACCTCCAACTTAACTTTCCTTTCGCAAAACTCATGCTAAAACCCTTTCAGGAGCTCCCAAAGGATTACGACACTTCTGACACAAAATCGACGACTCTGATGACTACTGGGAACAAGAAAACATGAAAATCAGACAAACTTTAATATAAAAGTGAGAGAAAGGAAATGAATGCTTAGAATTGCAAGAGAAGGGAATTTGTGCTTACAGAATTTACCCTAGAGCCCTGAATCATGAGTTGTGGCACTCTGGTAGCTGCTTGGTTCGCGGCCTGCTCCTGCTTGCCTCTTGCACTGTTCCAAGGGTTGCGGACCTCACTTGCTTTAGTCGTGACGGACGGGGAGAGGGGAATCACAAGCGAGGGAGAGGAGAAGGATTCAGGAGGAAAATTCGGACCTCGGGACTACCTAGTCGTCCAATCAAAAGGAATAAAATGCTTGGAAAGGCGTTGTGCTACAGTGTTATGATAGGATTAATTAAAGTAATTAACATTTAAGTTAATAAAACATATATCTCCAAACTTTTACTTTTTCCAATCCCCTTAAAATTCATGTATGGTGCTTTATATGGAATTGATTGATTTGATGCATAGAGTTTAATAATTTTTTTTCGATGAAATTCAGGGAAATGAAAAGTTTTAGGGTAGTTTAAAGAATTGTGCCAAACTTGATTAATTTTTTGAAATTTAGGCGTTATAGAAATATTCAACTTAGTTCAATCTAAATCAATCTTAGAGATTTAATCTATTGAGTTCGAAATCAAATTTAAATCTTTGTGTCTATTATATATAATCTATGATTTATAATTCAAAGGGTAGAGCCATTGAGGAATATACGAGCTATGGTTGTGACTATAATATAGTAATATTATTTTCCAAAAAATCACTTGGTTTAAGAGCTCTAATCATAACCGGTACTTTTATGGAGCCATTTTGGTGCCATATCATCCAGACATTTGACACAGACCCCTCTTTATTGGCATAAATCTTTTGGGAGTGAGCATGGACATATGCTTTCTATGATAATAACTATTTGTGATAATTACTTTTTGTTTTTAACCTTTGTGTTACTTTCATGATATTTTATTTGTTTTTTAGTTCATTATATGGGTGTTGTCATCTTTGTTCAGAGAAAATGATCTAAATGGTGTTACACTATTTAAGGGGAGTTGTTTCAATTTCAAATTATTTAAAGTGTCTAATTTAATCTCTTTATTCTTCAAATCTTATCCAAAATAATTTCTTGACTTCTCAAAATTGATTTAAATTAATCCAACCGAGGAATTATTTTTGTATAATAGACTAATTAAAATATATTTTTGCTATGAGACAAAGATGGCCTCATATAAATTGTCCGTTCCATTTTGACTTGTTTTACTAATCGTTTATATTGATTGTTATTGATAGTTCTCAAACTTCTGAAAGGAAACATTGATAGAATAGGTTTTGAATTATTTCAATAATTCTTTTCCTTGGTCCTTATCCATCAACATTATCGTTGTTTTTCTATCTTTTAGTTTTGAATTAAAGATTTTGCAACACCAGTTCCAGTTTTGGTGCTGAGGTGAGAGGGCATTTATAAGATTGTCCGTGTTAAAGTATCCAATGTTGGCATATAGAGTTAATTTTCCACTCCAAAACAAGGCTTGCATGATTTCCTTAAATGTATGTGTTTCAGCAAGCTCTGCTTTTACGTTCCTGGATTCTGCTCAGTTGTTTCAGCTAGTAGGCTTTATTATATGTAGCTAACTATTTTAATATTGAAGATAGAAATGGATTTGATTTCTATTCTAAGACATTGTATGTGTTTATTATTAGCTTAACATTTGTTGTCATGTGATTTGTCTTTTATGCCCTTTAAATTGATGAATCGTTTTTATTGCACTATCCAATCACTCAAGAAGCATTCCCAATTAATTATGGACCTTTTTTTAAAAAAACTTAGTTGTTTTTATCCAGGCTTTATGACCCTCGTGTTCCACTCTTGCAAAATCTGCTGAACAAGGAAGTTTTTTTCCCGTGTGATATGTTTTCAACTTCTGAAATACTTGACATTTTAACAAGTTTTGGATTGAGGAGTTGCTTGAACTTAAGTGGTCTGATAGATGTTGCAAGGTCAGTCTCAATGTTGCATGATTGTGGCCATGTTGATGCTCCTCAGTATGGAAGGAAGTTGCTTTCTTTTTTGAATGCGTTAGGGATTATGCTTTCAATTCCGAATGATCAGGCGAATAAACATGATATTGATCGCCAATCATTAATAACTGATGGGATCTCACATGGTAAATATACAGAAATGAAAATTGATGAAGAGAAGAGCTGTGAGTTTGATCAGGACGTAGAGTTTTTTATTTCTAGTTTTGTTCTTGATAAACAAGAATGTGAATTTTGGTCAGAGATGAAGATCATTCCATGGTGCCCTGTATATGTTAATCCTCTTCTGATAGGACTTCCATGGTTTGCTTCGGATAGAAGTGTGGCAACTCCAGAAACTACAAGGCCAAAATCCCTAATGTGGCAGGTTTCGTCAAAAATGAGGATTTTAGATGGTGATTGCCACTCAACATATGTACAAGAGAAGCTTGGTTGGAAGGATCCACTTGATATTGAAACCTTGTCAACTCAATTAGTTGCACTTTCGAAATCGTATACCCAGCTGACATTGCAGTCCAAACATGACTTTCACATTGATGACATTTTGCAAAGGGAGATCCCACTTATATATTCAAAGTTGCAGTGTTACATTGATAAAGATTACTTCAATGTTTTGAAAGAAGCTTTGGATGGTATCAGCTGGGTTTGGCTAGGTGATAGCTTTGTTCAGTCAAATTCGGTTGCATTCGACTCTCCTGTGATATATCACCCATATTTATATGCTGTCCCATCAGAGCTGTCTGAGTTCAGATCTTTGCTTTTACGGTTGGGTGTGAGGTTGAATTTTGATGTCATGGATTATTTAAATGTTTTGCGATGCTTAAAGCAGGATGTCAGAGGAGAACCATTATTAGTTGAGCAATTAAGTTTTGTTCAATGCATCTTGGAAGCTTTTGCCGACTCATTGGCTGATGGACGGTTAACAGACACACTTTTGAACTCACTTTTTATTCCTAGTTCTTCTGGAGTTCTAATGAATCCATCAGATCTTGTTTATAATGATGCTCCATGGATTGATGTAAATAACACACAAAAGTGTTTTGTGCACTCTAATATCGGTAATGATCTAGCTAAACGGCTTGGAGTGCAATCTCTCCAGGGTCTGTCTTCGGTTGACGAGAAAACTGCAAGGGATTTTTCATGCATGGATTATGCCAGAATATCAGATTTGTTTGCTTTATATGGGGAGAGGGAATCTCTATTATTTGATCTTCTTGAGCTAGCTGATCACTTACGAGCAAAGAAATTGCACCTAATATTTGACAAACGTCAGCATCCCAGGCAATCATTGCTGCAACACAATCTAGGTAATGTATTTATTCTCTCTCTTGTTAGAGTATGATGATCTCCAATTAACTTGTTTTGGCAAAGTAAACTTTATTTTTTTCCTTAATTGATGCTATTGTACTTCTAGAAATATCAAATAGAATAATTCTAAGCAGTCAGTGGGGATGAATTGTTTGTTTGGAGGAAAAGAGAGTACGACAATGGAAATACATTGGAAAACAAGCTGGTAAACAGAGATTTAAATTATAACTGGATTAGATAGGAGCTTTGATGGATTAATAAGGATGATGATGAACTTAACACACGCTAATGTTCAGATCCTAGCTCAACAAGGATGTTCCAAGCTCATGCCATGGTAGAGAGTTGACAAGATATGGCTCGCTAATCTCTTGAAGAACTCGTTTTGTTTTTTAATTCAAAATATCCTTAGAAGGAATTTAGGCCTTATTTATAGAAGGAAAATTAATATTTTTGCAATTATCTAATATAATTTAGGTGCTATCTAATAGAATTTAGCTTTTAAATTTTTGTCCAGTTTCGTACTTTTTTACCCATATCACTCTGCATCCTGTTCTCTCTCTTTCTCTCTCTTTCTCCTTCCCTTTATTCATCCTGACATTTACAACTACCTTGTTGGCCATTGATTTTATAACTTTTAGAACTTATTTTTGCATGTGTTTCTTCTTGGTTTTCAGTAATCCATGCAGTTCAAGTGGATTTTCTTCTAAAACCTGACATTTAAAATCATCATTAATCTCAAGGTCAGAAATGATGGTAGTTTCATTTTCCTTATTAGATTGAGTTTATCATCATAGACATCTTTATAGAATTCAAGTGGCCTGGCTATGGATGGGGCCAAGACAAGGATTGACAATCTAAGAGTTGTGAAGATAATTTTGATGGAATCACCAAAATCACCAGTATATAAGAGTTCATTTATGAAGGAATTAATATCACCAAAATCACTACTCACCTCAATTTTATATAATTTTCTTTACTTTTTGCTTCTATCACCTCTTTCAAATGATTACCTATAAAATACAAAATATTCATGTTTTTAAAATTTATCATATTACCTAATTATATTTTAATTACTTATGAATTCTTAATTATTATCTTATTACATTTTTTAATTAAGTTTTCAATCCTTCATTTTTAAATTTAATCTTTGCAATTAATACAAATATTTTATAACATTAATTTAAACCAAATACTTTTATAAATAAAACACTAATTTTTTTTGATGTCATCAACTTTTCTCGATCCAAATCTGAAACTTTTATAGCTTAAATACTGATTTAATTAAAGCTATTATTAACAATTAATAATAAATCATAGATTTTAAATTTAATCTTTGGAGAAAGGGATGGAGGAAATCATGAATGTATCCTACCTTATCAAAACCAGATATCAATACAACCTCAAGATGTGGAAGTTGAGGATCCACATCTCAATACAACTCAACAGATGAGTGGAATCAATGGGATGGCCACATTGAGAAGTTAAAAAAGAAAATAAAACTATCGGCATTAATCTTTGTAAATATTACTAATATTATATAACATTAATTTAAACAATATACTTTTATAAATAAAACATTAAGCTTTATTTCATGTCTTCAACTTTTCTCGATCCAAATATGGAATTTTTATAGCTTGAATCCTGATTTAATTAATCCTATTATTGATAAAACTCATAAATTAATATTTTTAAAACCCTTACCTTTATTAAGCCTCGGTTCAGTCTTCTAAGCGACACATGGCTCCCCTTGTTTTTTGCATTGAATGGACTCCCTCCTTTCTTCCTCCTCTTCCGCTTCATACTTCGCTTCACATCGAACGAAATTGAGCCTCTTGTACACGATAAAAGGGCACCTTCACTGTAGGTGTTGTCGTCTTCCTCCTTCATGTGAGACGTTTCCTTGCCCACTGCGTCATATTTCTTCATTTTAAATCTGAAGCTCCGTCGCCCTTGTCCCCTTATATCATATGCATGGGAAAGCCCTAGCTTGTGATTATGACGCAGTGGGCAAGGGAAACATCTCACACGAAGGAGGAAGACGACAACGCCTACAGTGAAGGTGCCCTTGTCCCCTGATATCATATGCATGGGAAAGCCCTAGCTTGTGATTATCAATCTTCCTGCATTTATCTTCTCCTTCCTTAAATTCAAACACTGCAGGAGGATTGATAATCACAAGCTAGGGCACACAATGGAATATCACATCCCCTACCTTCCCACTTGTAATGGATCAAACCATGATCTTGGGCACACAATGGATGATGCCTTGAGCGTCGTTTCTGCTTAGGAGTTTGCCAATCACTCTCTGGTAAGCTTTCCATGCCTTACAAATCATACACGTGAATTGTTCTTCAATGTTGTCACCTTTAACTTTATTTGATGAACTCACATCCTTCACACTTGTTGTCTTGCACACCTCTCTGATCTCTTCTCGGATTATTGATTGTTTGTTTCTAAACAAAGTAATCATTTTTCTTTATAACGGTGAAATATTGCATTTCCTACCTTCCCTAATGCTTGAGTTATGAGAAATATTTGAGCATTACAAACTTCACCACTTATAAAAATTTTGTCCTCTGAATTTATTAATTTTCTACAATCCTCTTCTTGCAAGGAACACAAATAAATTAATTTTTTTTTAAGAGGCTTAGATCTCATTCATCAAGATAACAGTGGATACAATAAAACAAATGTTTGATACCAGTTAACTCAACTAAGTTTTCTCATCAACTGAAACAAGATAACATAAAAAATATAACATTACATCGAAAATAATATAACATAACTACAATTACACAATCACTGAAGCAACATTGCACTCTAAAGATGCCTCAAACATAAAAATCAAAATACTCGTTAGACCTTATTAACATCAACATCCATAGCAATAGGTTCTTGAGGCTCATTATGAACAAGAATATAAACTCGATATCGAATTAGCTGTCGTGGTTGACTTTGGGTGGGAGCTAAAATTGATCATTTTTTGCTCATCTGCAGTCTTCTGTAAAGGAGCTCTAACTGATTTCTGACCTTTAGTGCGCATTTAACCAAGTGATGGACAATATATTGTTATATAGCCAGACTGAGAACACATGTAGCATGTGTTGAAGTCCATCAAACATTCATCCTTATGTTTTATTCCACATTTGACACAACTGATTATAGTACTATGAATCGTACCTCAACTAAATCTACCTGAACTCAACCCCATCTTCTTCCCATTAATCCCTTTGATTGATCCACATGTTTTTATTGCGCATATATTTATACCTTTGAGTGAGCTGATAATTAATTTTCACCCATCTAGCCAACTCTATCAACACTGAGTATTTATCAATTCCTAAAGGCACCAATAATTGTCTAATTGAATCCTTCTATCTGAAAAGAAACCTATAACTAATTTCCTCTGTAGTGGCGATCAGCTGCGGTGCATACCTCTACAATGTAGTGAAATCTTCTTCATACTACATAACTATCTTCTTTCTCTACACCAACCTAATGAACTTGCACTTCATCTGAGTTTGAGTAGATAGGGGAATAAATCACTCTGAAAAGCTCCACAAATTCCTCTTAGTTAACCATCTTGTTGGGTATGACCCCAATCTATTTTGATGTTCCTCACGCCGCCAATTTGATGCTTTTCCATCCAATATAAATGTAGCTAAACACATCACTCAATTCTGTGCTTCAATTAGATCTTCAGTTCCCTTGAACAAAGGTGTGCGCAGCTCTTGAAATAACTTTAAGTACTTATCCATAACAACTACCTCATTCCCACCAAATTGTGGTATGGACTTCTGAATTAATTGTTTCAGTGCCGCCATCATTTGGGTCAGGACATTCGTGTTCCCATTTATAGTAGGTGATACTTGATTTTCTATGGAACTTTCCTCTTCTATAATCTCACTTGTATCTCTTTTCCTGAATGAACATAATTATTTAATTAGAGTTAACTTAAAATTTCAATTTTTTATTATTTAAAAATTCTTTTTGTTGAATTGGCTCATTCATCAATAGTGTATTATTTAATATTAAATATTTTTTTCTAATATCATTTTTGTCAAGACCAGACCCGGGACTTGGAGTTAACCAAAGCGAATTAGATGGTTGGGTGGTGGAAATTAAATTTTTTATATTCATTTTCTAATACTAATATTTAATAAAAGAAAGAGTTATCAATGAAGATAAATTAAACCAATATTGTTAAATTTATCTCATTTCTGGTTGTCTTAGTCAGCTATAAATTTTTTAACTTATATCGTTCATTTTCTAATCAAATATTTAAACCCAAAAATAGTTTAAAATTATAAAAATTTAACTATAGTCAGTGAATTCTTATACTCCTAAATTATACTAACACAGTGAAAAAAAAATAATATGCATGTCATTTAAAATTTATGTAAATCAATCTAAGAGCATTTGAAAGTTTGTACTATCTAATATGATTAATGTAACTCTATATATTAACTATGTTTTTCTTGATCTTTCACATATCAATTTCTTTGTAATAGTAGTACAATCGTTACAAGAGTAATGTCAATATCAACATTCTTTTTCATTTACATGCACAGGTATATCAATATCATTTTTAATTTACGGGTACGAGTAATTTAATCAATCAACACACACACACACACACACACATATATATATACATATATATATATATCTATATATTTCATAACTTTCATATTTTCATGTCCTTCAAGATGCAATATTTAATACTATAATGCATAAAATTTTTAATAATGAAAGACTAGACATTTTTATCAAAATTACCGATAAAATTTAAGAATAGATGAATCATAATGCTGTAATCAAACATCAATATCAATTTCTACAAATTGTTTAGAAGAGATATAAAAATGCCACTAAAACTTAAGAGGAGTACCACTTCGATCTTAGATGATTTTGTTTGCTTCTAGTTTCTATCACCTCTTTCAAATGTGCACCTATAATATATAAAATATTCATGTTATTAAAATTTATCACATTAATT